AAAATCTAAACTCTACAGGTGAGAGTATACTGCTTCTGAAGAAGGGAGAATATGTTGCTGTAGGAATGAACTTTATCAGATCAAGTTATCCTGAAAGCTTAGACTTCATTTCTTTTGCCAGTTGGAGAAGATCCATCAAATCAGGAGAGAAGCAGAATATGGTTGGGTCTTATTTCCTTATCACCTTGGGCTGTGACACCATTTGACCTCAAGAGTTTAAGCAGGATCAGGCCAGCACTTGAAAGGGACCAATCTGTATTTTTTCCCCTCTAGGATGTTTTCACGAACCATTGGGTGAAACTATTGTTTCTGAGTTAATGCTGTCCTAATCCATTAGCAAAGTGTTTGGAGGATGTTTTGTTACTCTTTGTTTTACTTGTGAATGACTCTGAAAACGGAAATATTGACTGCTAGTATATTCACAGATTTTATGTGGAAGAGTAATTTTACTTCCTTTTTTAGTCACATTTTAATTCAGGTATCTAGACAGTGGTATAATTTTTTTTTTTTTTTTTTTTAATATAATTTAAATTCAGCTCCCTTGTCTTTGCTACTTTTCCTGGATTTTAAGTGCTGTTCAACAGTGCTTAAAATGTTCCCTTTTTATTCAGTGGAGAATGAATTAATGTAGGCAGTATCATTAGTTATGCAGTGAGAGATTTAACATATGCTATTAATTGATGGGAGACACTCAACTGAATTTTAAGGTTACCATTTCCTGATGGAGCTGCATACTCCCAGGCAAGTTTTTATATGAAAATTGCTGTAAATAAAACTGCTGATCATATAGCATGTTTCTAAACAGGTACTATTTCTACCCATTCTATGCAGAAAGTGTGCAGATAAAGATAGCCTAAGGCCAATCCATGTTATTTGCTTAATTGCTAAAGAAAAAGACGTTACAGTTTGCAATTTGTCCCATTCTGACCTGGTCTATCTCCTGTTATTTTCCTTCTGCCTTCCCTTCCCCGCTTGAAGGACTTCTCCGTTTCTGTCTCAGCAGAACTCACGTCCTTTTCTTTCTTTAGGTTTTGTTCTAATATAAAACATTTAATTTGACATTTGAATGTGTCAGCAAAATCCTCTGGTTCCCTACACAAGACTGCAGCTTGACATGCATTTCTCTAACCTGCCACTGACTTCACAACTCCAGTCTTCCACATGATTTAGTACGTCTCTTTGGAAAACCGTGTTCGCATTTCAGTTGTAATAATGATTGCTTTGCCTTTGAGAATGATGTTTATGCTGTTATTTTAATGATGTTGTTGATATAGTGCAAGATGTGTCAGCAGTATGACTTTTCTTCCTCAGCACTGATACTGACTTAAAATCAAGGGATTTCAAAGAACATGCGCCAAAGGCATTAGACATTTATGGTAAACACTACTTTACCTGCAATATTTCAGAGAACTCTCTAAGAAATTAGCCTATTAGGCAGAAAGTCTTAAGAAACTTAAAGACATTAAAATTTGATTTCAAGGAGAATTTGGGGCATCTATAAATGAGAACGTCTTTGTGAACACAAGTTCAAGACCAAAGGAGCGCTATCTGTTTCACTAACAAAAATTATCTCAGTTTCTCTATATTGCCTGAACAGCATCACACTGTCTCATCTCAATGTAAATAAGGTTCCAGCACCTGAAACTCCAGTGGTTTCTGTGTATACATGCTCATGCAGAGAGATGAATAGTCTGAAGAAAGTCATTCTATGTATATACCACTTCCATGACTTTCCAAGTCACAGGAGTGAGGGCAAATCTTCCTGGGTCAAATCCAGGCAAATGAAGAAAGGAGGAACCAGTCCTAGCAGACCTTTAAGTTCTGACAGTTTAGTATGGGTGCTCAAGTGTAATTCTGGAAATGCCCATTATGGACTTCCATTCTTACAATAATTGAGACCCTGGTGAGGCAAGCCTCCTCTTCTCTTCTCTGACCGTATTCTACTGATGAGTCAGTTCTTGTATTAAAAAGTCATTAAAATCCGTTAATTGAGTCCAAGTTTTTTTCTTTCTGAACAGGAGAATATGGACTAACACAGAGATAAACACTTCCAGGAGAATGGCTTCCTATCAGCTTTTTATATCTGTTATCAAGAAACTAATTTGATCAAAGTACCAGCAGAACTTTCTCAATGTTTGTAGGTATTAAAAGACTTCCTCTCACTTGGATTTTGATTACTCTTATAACAATTTTCTTGTTGCTTGAAAGATTTCCCACTAGTTCATTAGTCTTTAGTTCTAACTGCTCTGAAGGCAATTACAGAGAAATAAACTTCTTTCCTTTTGTGCAGTCCCACAAGAAGTTTAGTTATTCTGAAAGATATACAGCAGAAAATAGAAGAGTGTTTTTTGTAGTATGAAGTGAAACTTGTGTGTAAATAAGAAAATCTGACTAAAAGTCCGCACTCCTTATTTTGTTATCACTCTTTGTCAGAATTATTAGCATCCTGGTCCTGATAACATTTCTCATTAGGGTTTTGAAGCCTGTCTACTGTATGATGTCTCTGATGGACCATACACTTTTTTTTTTTGATTCTCCACAATAGTAAGATCTTCTTAAGGGGAAGACAAAAATATCAAAAATTAAGTAAACCTCCAGATAATCCACCTGGGGGATTACTAAAGGGATAAAATAGCTGAAGATTTAAGTGGTGTTATTAACCAGTGAACTTGAGATTCTTTCAGGTCTGTGGACAGTATAGCTCAGGAAGGGAGAAGTGGCCTACAGACTCTGTTAGTATAGGTGCTATGCAAGCCTGAAGTAGAAAGATTGCTGATAATGTAGGGAATAGGTGGGAAATGTTTGTGGAGCACTAGAGGGGTAGCTGTAATACTGCTAAAGTTTTATAGATCTTCTGGCAGAAGCTTTATAAGTTGAGACTTAATAAGTTACAGCTTCTCAGCAAAATTGGATCCAAACCAGATGTCAAGGGAGGAAGAATGAAGAAAAATGGTTGTAATTGGGAGGTAATAGAAAGAACAGCTTTTTACTTCCACAGCTAGTACTGATCATAGAACAAGAGCAGACTGCTCTAAGCAATCAGAGAAGATTAAAAGTAGGCTATAACTGGTATGCCTGGAAACAGGATGATATCTTAAATACACTTACAATATGTGTAATAAGACAGCTTCATATTAATTCTTTCATAAAAAAAGATTAATTTTGCCCTGGAGCAGCATTTCTCTGGCACTTTATTCATGTTTGTGCAGAGTTCCCTGCTTGCAGGCACAATGACACATGTGTTTTCTCTCAACTTAACACTAGAGGCTTGAAGAAGATGTAATGGGCTGCCACATACCACTTACTTCCTAACATCTTAAAATATCATAGTTTCAATGTTGACTATTTTATGTGTCATCTTTATAAAATTATACTGTTTATATTTTTTCTGTTAGTATATGCATTACATTATTTTTCAATTTGCTGTATCTCATGATTAGGGTCACCATCCACCCCCCCACCCCTCAGTAAATTCCTGAAGTACTGTGGATTGGTTAGTTGTTTTTTGTTGTTGGGTTTTTGTTTGTTTGTTTGTTTCACTTTCAGATTATGTCTTAATGTCAACATACTAAGATTGAACATGAACATTTTTGCTTTTTTTATTTTGTTGCTATTCTCTAGTTTCTTCTGATGCTTAGAGTAGGTTGAGTTACAAGCTTAAAGCACTGGCTAATAAGCCTGAGCATCTTCCTGATGTGTTTTTGTTTAATATAATTTATTTCTTTGTTCACCCTTACTTTTGTTCCTTGGTCCTTCTACCACAAGGAGGGGAGAGAGATTTTGTCAATAGGTTATGGCAATAGAAATACCAAGGCATATGGCAGAGCAAATGTCAAAACTTGAGGCCATCATGTCCTGTGAATACAGTGATTTGAGGGGAGAGAAAATGTGAAGAATCTTCAGCAGACCAATAAAACCAGTAGTGTGTTTTATGCTGATGAAAACATAAATGTTTTCACTTTTAGTAGCCATTGGGCCTGTAGTTTCTGTGCAGATCCTGATCTTGATATCTGTGATTTTGATGGTAACTGCAGGCTCGATACAGAAAATCTGCTTTGGACAAGATGGTAAACCACTTTTCTAAATCTCTAGTATGCTTTCTAGGAGGTGTACCCTGTAAACATGGTGTGCTTTAGCTAATTTGCCAAGGGATCATAGTTGGCTGTGAAATCAAATTTCCTGTGAAAACTTGGAATGATTCTAGAATGCTAAGAAAATGCTCTGGACAGCTTCACTTACATATTTTCTTTTGCAACATTGTGGTGCATCTTTGTGTGACGATGGCAAAACTGAAACTGGCTTGGTATTCAACTGAAAAAGAATGAATCCTCTCCTGTTAGAAGAGTTATCTGGGATTATGTTAGCTATCATAAATATCCTTTGCTTAGCAACAGAGATGGCATTCAGGATATCAAGCCAACTGGAAAGAATCCCTATGACAGGGCTCTGTTGGGGTAGGTGGATAAGCTTTCTTGACAACACCAGTGCTTTTGCTCCTGTCACAGTTTGTGTTGCTAGGATCTGTTTCACAAGTTTTGTGACAGACTTATAAATGATACTGTGGCTCCTTTTGTTTACTGTCAAAAAGAACCATAATGTGGGGAAAGTGAACAGTAAAAGGATATGGAAAATAATAAAAAATCTGGGCACGTAAGACTGTGTCAATACTAGGGCAGCTATTTTTGAAGGGAAAAAGAAGTTAAAAAAATCTTTTAGATTGCTAAAATGGAAGGCAATATATGGTAACATTCCACTTCTTTACTTTTTATGAACTTGGCTGCTTCAGCAAAACAAGAGAAAAATTATTTAGTCATAAACTGAAAACTTCAATTAGAATTCAAGAGATTTCCCATGTATCATGCTAATCATTAATGATGAAATGTATTTTTGTTCACAGATGTAATTCACATTCTTTCTTCCAAATCACCTTTTCAATATAAATTGGTAGTTTCATTATCAGCCCTCTTGGCCTGTTTGACCTTTTCTACTTTTTCTTCCAGGGGAAAAAGATGATGAACAGATAGTTGCAGAAATCATGAGAAGGCGTTTTTTTCCTGCTCTTATAACTCATAAGGCCTGGGAAGGCTTTCACTTTGCTGACCATGAGATAAGAATTACAGAAGCCACTGATTGTTATGGGGCAGTCGTCTGGCCATCGGTACAATATTTATTCAGTATTGTTATTTAGTTTTGGAGTCTTCTAGCACTTTTAATTTGTTTTGCATGACAAATATGTTTTGTTGTATGTTATAAACCCCAGGAAAATATTCTGTATCTCTCTGTCTCAATCTGCAAATATCAAACCTGAATTTAACCTGATTTCATATAGATTCCTGGTTCTCAAAACTTAAATGATATTTATTGCTTGTGCACCATCACACAAGATGTATGACCTTGTGTCCTCTCCTCAACTACCAGTAACTTTTGATACTAGTCTTATGATGATTATATTTCTGTACATTTTTTAAAAACAGATGCCTGTATAGCAGGCAGATCCAGGTTGCAGAAACACCTGTGATATGAGCTCACAAGGTATTAACACTCTTGGAAGCTACTCAACCTACTTGTGTAAACAAATCTACCTTGTAAGTATGCAGACATGAGAAAAGGTTCACCTGGAGCTTTCAATTTCTTAAATAGCCAGAAATCTAGTGGGAAAAAAACATTGTCCTTGGCTCTTGATATAAGAACCATCAACATGCCCACCATACAAAGAGCCTTCTTCAAGGTTTTGAATCTGTGCAGTGCAGCTGAATGGTTTGAAATAATTAAGAGTGAAAGAAACCACTGCAGTCAGGGAAGTGCCACGATGCACCATTGACACTAGTGACATTCAGAGAACATCCCTGAAACAGAACCATCTCCAGAAGGGAGAGGACTAAAACCCAGGAGGCTCCATTTCTGTCCCAATGGTATCAGCCTCCTAGGATCATACTATTTTTAAGAAGTACAGCCATAGTTCAGCTGAGGAGAATTAGTGTACCCTGCTGTTTTGAACTCCAAACAATTTTCCTTGTCTTAGCAGACCTGGACAAGTTATTTATACTGTACCTCTTAGCAGCCTCAGTGCACGTCTTCACAGAAAATTTGGCTGGCTGCCAATTGTTCTCACAAAATCAGGATTGTATGGAAAAGTATATTTTTTTTTCTGGAAGGGTTTAGCCGTTTTTTCTGTGGAAGGAAGACAACCCTTCAGTCTGTGTTTCTTCATGTTCTCCCTTCCTGATCTACCTAGCAGTATTTGAGTTCTTCCAAAAAATGCCAGCCAAATTTGTCGAGAGGGCAGAAACTTTAAGGAAAATAAAGTTTCTACATATTTTATGGAAAGGAAGACAGATTTCAAAGTTTCCCTAATTTAACCCACAGAAATGTTGATCCTGCCAGCCAGTTTTGACAACAGAATATGGTAAAACTCTGAGGGAAGAAATTATAGGAAATCTTACTATAATGTGTTTTTAAATGTCAGTCAAAGATCAGACACAATCTTTACGAACCTGGCTTTAATTAGTCCTGGTGCTCACAGACTTATTTCTTTATCAAAGCTTTGTTGATTATGAGATATATGTAAGTTCACATAAAAGACCCTTTTCTTTTTGCTCTGAATTAAGAGGTAGAAAATAAAAACTTTGAATTTCTAGTATGTCAACATTGGGTCAACAGTCCTCCCTTCCTTCTACTTTTTCATTTGTTAAAACCAAAACTAAGAGCATTACTTTGCTGTGCCAGACTAAGCCACTAATAATTGCTTTTCCAAATGGTCATCTGTATTGCAGGAAGGTGTGGCAACTATCACATGTATTTGTCAATGGAGACTATATAATTATCAAAGTCTGGGAAAAAATGTGGAAGCTGGAAACTGTCTTTGCCAAAGAAATAAAATCAGCAATTTTTATTTTGACAGTGAACTAAAACTCACTGATCAGGATGAGACAGGGCAGAAAAGGTTCTTAATCTCAGTTTATAAATACATATATAAGGAGTCTGTTGTAGAGGGCTCTTTGTGGCTTTGTTTGCTATAAAAATTTTCTAAGCTTAACAAGGTAAGCATGCCGAAACTGAAAATGAACTGGAAGAAAAACGGTAAATCTATCAGTACCTTTTGAGTCATTATGATAATTAATTATTATTAGAAATAACTAATTATTGGAAGAGTTTAACAAGGGTTGTTGCGGATTTTCTCTCACAAGTAGTCTTTATATCAAGATGTCTTTTTGAAGGACACGTTTTAACTCCAACAAGAAGTAAGTGCAGTTATAAGCAGGAATTGCTGACTGGAATTTTATAGCTCATGTTATGCAGTGTGACAGATTAGATAATTGCAGTTGTTCCTTCTGGCTGTAATGCTTTTCAAGCCTATATTGAAGCATGTTGTGGCATTTATTTTGTCAACCTATGGAGCTCAAAGATCATAGTAATCTGTGATCCTTTAGGGACAACGCTTGAATGAATATTGCTCATTTGAACAGACATGAATTTCTGAACAGACAAGAATTTTTTTTGCATGCTTTTAAATGACAGTGCATATTTAGTGAAGGGATTTATTTCATTTATTTGTTCAGTATGTTCATGGATTCCCTCTCCTACAGGCCCTTGTTCTGTGTTATTTTCTGGAAACTAATTCTAAACAATACAATTTGGTTGACAAAAATGTGATTGAAATTGGAGCTGGAACTGGTTTGGTCTCCATAGTAGCCAGTTTACTGGGTGAGTACATGCCATTGCTCTTTTGCTCTTGGAAACATCTCTCAGATGAATACTGGAGGACAAAGGAAGTGGGTCAGTTCTTCTAAAAGGCTGTTTGAAAGCTTCCAAAGGCAAGAAAACATAAATTACAAAAGGCGTATTAGAAAACCTCCTCTTTTATTTTTTTTTTTCTGTAGAGCTGTGAGTGTATTGATGCAATAAAGGAGGTCCCAGTAGGTGATGTTGTCGTTAACAGTGTTAAACAGGGGACCAAATTAAGAAACTAGTGGCCTTACAGGATGTCAGTGGCAACCAGATGAAGCCAGATATAGGTATGACCAATGCATCACCTTCCACTGACCAAACAGCTCTTGAATGCCAGGTCACTTCCTTTCCATTCATATTCAGCATTTTCTTTCATCAACTGATCAGCAACTTGATTTTTTCTGCTACAGACACTGTTGTGTTGTCTCTCACGGTAGACTATTCTGCCTCAAGAGTAATCCAGATCAGTGACTTCTGCATTTTAGCAGAACTTTAGCTTTCTGTAGTCTGAGAAAGCTTTTTCCTATATGAAAGGAAGGAACCTGAAGCAGTACTTAGATGTCATGCTGACTTCTTGGAGTCAGTAACTAGTGTTCCATCCCTAGTCGCTCCCTGTACTTTTAACCAATATGATATGAAGATGCAGTAAGTATCTGATTTCTCCCCACACATCCCCAGCTGCATTTAGATGTCTATCTGTAAAGTGGAACTACTGGGAACCAAATATTTATTTTAAGCACAATGGCTAAGAGCCATTGGGAACATTTCCATTGTTCTGTTCCCTTCAATGAGAGCTACCTTGGTAAAATCAGTTCCTTGTGCAGTGACTTTTGTGAATGGGTTTTTACTCAAGTCTTGAAATGTGTTCAAAGATTAAATTTGTTTTCTCTTTGTCACAGGTGCACTTGTGACTGCCACTGATTTGCCAGAACTGCTGGGAAACCTTCAGCACAACCTTCTCCAAAATACAAAGCTGAAATGCAAGCACCAGCCTTGTGTTAAGGAATTGTCTTGGGGAATTGATCTGGAAAAGAACTTTCCTAGGTCTTCCTGTCACTTCGACTACATTATGGCTGCTGATGTAGTTTACCACCATCCTTTCCTGGATGAACTCCTTCTAACGTTTGATCACTTGTGTAAGGATGACACTGTTATTCTGTGGGCTATGAAATTTAGGTTGGACACAGAGAACCAATTTGTGGGCAGATTTCAGATACTGTTTGACTTAGAGGTGATTTCTAATTTCCCCAGTTTGGACATAACCTTGTATAAAGCAATGAGGAAAGGCAGGATGAAAGCCAGACCTTCCAAACCAACAGCCTGAAAGAGACATACAGGGAGGTGACAGTTTCAGCTGTTTTGCAGCTTGTGCTCTTTTTAATAATTTCCATGTTAGTAGATCTTAGCACCTGCGTGAATGACATTTTCAGAGATAGCTAAAGCAAAATATCACATTCCTGCTGCATCCCCAACAAATTCCTACATTCAATTTGCCAATAGTTTTATACACAGCAGAAATATCTTTGAAGTTTTCTAGACTTTCATGTGCTAAGCTGACAACACTAATAATTTTCACAAGTCTTGCCATTATTGTTATGCATCATGTAATGAATATTTCTAATAGCTTTCAATTGCAGCCTTGAGTGGTGTCTTATAAGATCAACCAATCATTTAAACCTTAAGACTATGATAAAATTTTTATTTAAAAGTTGTGATGTTAAATCTGATCTTTCCCCATTCTCACTATTGTGTAAATCCTTCCTTTGAACAGCCTTTATAAGACACTAAATTAGCTGGAAAAAAAAATACCTGGGAAATATACTGTCATAATAAAGGGATAGAATATATTATTTATCCTTTGATTTAATGATTATACTTTCTTCCCCTTCCATTTTTTATTTAGAATCAGGGATTCTTCAACAGATAGCTGCACACAAGGCAAGAGGGGGTTAAATGTTTCATTGCTTGAACAAAAGTTTTGGATAAGAAGAGTAGAGCATATCACCAGCTGCCCTTTGCAAAGACCTTACATTCTTGGAGGTTTGTTCCTCCAAAAATAGGTGGTTATCTGGGCCTCGGGGAACAACAATGTTAAAACGACAGTGGCCATCAAGAGATGAGTTTTGCACTGCCAGCTGGTGGTGACTGGAGGTAGAAAACTAAACCAGCCTGACACAGCGTGGCTGAGGCATGGGCAGGCTTAGATATTTTTTTCTGTTTTGTAGTATGGGCAAACTAAATACTTTTCTCCTAACCACTCAGTATTGCATGTTCCTGTTCTCAGTAGTCAGATTACTGTCCTTGAAAGCCTATCAAACAACTTTTTTGGGGGAAGATTAATAAAATGATTCTTTGCACAGCCATATTTTCTGATTCTGTTTATAACTGAGTGTAAGAGACCTCCAAGTCCCTTGCATGTTGGAGAAGAAAACCCAGCTCATGTGTTAATGTCCAGGCAGAACTTTACCACCTCTGCTGTAGCAGGCAATTGTTGTAGTAATGAGAGCTCTGGCAGCTGTCAGTCTTTATCTTTTAGCTCCTATTTGTAGTTTCTCCAGGAGTTTTTTTATATGTTGTCAGATCTGAACATTTTTTAACTTTGACTTCCAGAATATATTAGCATTTGTACCTCTTCTTGTGACAAATGCATGTTACTTACTTTGCTGATTGGCACAAACATGGGGCAGAACTATGATAAAAATGACTGGTATAACTGGAATGTACTCTTACTCCCAGTCAAACATCTGGGACAAAGGTGCCCAGTATTAGAGATGAAGTGTTGCAGAGAGGAGAGTCCAAGCTGCCAAGATTTTCCAGTGGGAGCTGGAGATCTCATTTGTGAAAGGAGGTAGTGAAAAGGATTTTGGAGAAAGGATGGGTGAGGATATGGCAGAGGGATGTGGAGTTGGAGGGAGGATGGCAGAGAAAAGGTAGGTGTAGGGAGAAGGTGAGATGGAGGAAGAGAAAGAGAAGAGGTGGCAACAATAAGACTGACTTAAAAGACGGTTAGGAACTGTAGCACAAAGTTAGGCCATCGTTCTTGCTACTGACTGTAAGGGAGCACACTCTGTGAGCCGTGGAGGATGACTCTGTGGTAATACTAGAGCAATCAGTATGTCTTAGCCTAGGACAGCAAAATGAGAAGAAAGGAAGCCAAGTACATTGACACCACTTTCTGGCTTTCCTGGTGGGAGATCACATGTAAGATTTTGGCTTGGAGGTTATTAATGAAAATTCAGTCCTCATCACTTAGTTTCCTGTGGTAAGATTTGTAGGTAGAGGCAGCATCTTTCTTTGGATCAACCAGTATAACAAGAAAATTAGACTTTATGACAGCTGGTATGGAGTATTACCTCTTCTTACAGATATCATTATGCTTATGTCCTTAGATCATTACGGCTGTAGAAAAACACAACTACAGAATGGAAATATTTTTTCCACACTGTTTAACAGAAATAGTTCAGTTTAAATGAATAAAGAAACAAACAGATCTCTGACATTTCTAGATTTCCTCTCCCTTCTTCCTTCCTCCTCACTCACTTGCAGTCACCAAATCCACTGCAATTGAAACTCTAATCCTTGCATCTCAAAGGACACCTGTTTGCAAATGTTTCATGGATAAATGGATTGGCACTGTAATTAATGCGTAACAGTGAAAATATCTTACGAAGTCTGAAGTGATGAAGGCTAAAGAGGAAAAGAAAGACTACAGAAAAGTAGTTAAGTGTAATCACTTTTAAATAGCTGTTATGCCAATTAGCCCTCCTATTTGGGCAGCAGGCTGTCCCCTGTTGAAGTCAACTGAGGTATTTGTAGAATGGATTCAGGATCAGGTCCTTTAGGTCCAAAATCTTGTTAATATTTACTGTAATGTAACATTAGTCCTCTTTCTCACAAGTCTGTCTAGCACCACTGTGTGAAGCTTCCTGGGAAAGCTCTTGTGACTGTCTGCTCTATTGTACAGCCACCTTTTGTCTTGTGGTATGATGGGCAGGTTATTAGCCATGACCAATGGCGGGTGAGGTTATATGTGGCATTTGCCTATGGAGTTTTTTTCTGCTCTTTGAGAACAAGTCTCACGTGAATGTCAAGTATTACTGACTCCTAAAGTCAGTCATAATTTTAATAATAATTTATTCTTTGTTCTAATATTTCAAATAAAGAACCAAGTTGTCATTCAGTGCATTATGTTGCTAATACACATGGCATTTGTATCCGTAGCTTGTGAAAGGCAAAGTGAAAAAAAAGTCAGTTAAATTTTTGGGTGAAAGAACTCCATCTATGAGGAATGCCAGAGAGTCTGCCTAAGCTGGTAGTCTCTTACCATGTCTTACAGAGTCTTATGGTAATCATATTAATTGAAGAGATAATTTGGGATGCATGGTATAGGTTCAATCAATTCCTTGGATTTTCTGTATTCCAATCTAAGAATAACTTATTGAGCAACAAAACTTTTAAGTAACTTGATGGTATTTTTTAGATTTTCCACAAACAATATGCTTTTCAAATGCTAATGTTTTCGGGAAGGGTTCTTTTTGTATAAAATATTTACAAAATCTTCACAATGATTTGCTTTGCTGCTTATTACATAACATCTCCAGCAAGGTCTTTTACAAATCATTGCCTTTTCCTTCTCAGAATCAAAGTTACAAACACTTTCAACACTGTACGGTTTCCATATGGTCATACTGAGTTTTTGGCTCTGTCTTGTTGAACTGTGATGTTGCAGCTCTGAGTGATTTGGTCTCATTTGCATTGCTAAACCTGCTGATCTGGGATTTTGCCTTTTATAACAGCTGTAAGAAAAAGTCTTCAAATGACTGTGAAGATCTACTGTGCATACCTTGTTTTCCTTTAGAAGCAGTAGTGGCGGTCCAGCCTAAGGAATGTAACTGCCAAAAATTATTCAAATAACTACCCATGGTACAAATGCCAGTTGAATGATGAACAACTTATATTAGCTATTATACAAGCACTAGTTAGTGTTAGATGAGCAAAGACGACTAGCAGCTGCATGTGTCTTCCTTAATAGTGATACCCATTGAGAATGTCAGCACAGGTGACACAATCATTTGAAGAAATATTACATTTACCATACAACAGAGGATCCTGAAACCTGAACAGGTTTAGAAGACCCAGACTCAGCTAACACACCTTGAACTCTGGAGACCTGAAGGGTACAGGATTTTTGCCCACTTGATGCCACTGATACTTCACTGGTAACCATGAGACAATCTTGAATAAATTCAGTGAGAAAGAAAGAAAGAAAGAAAGAAAGATAGGTAGATAAATGATAGATAGATAGATAGATAGATAGATAGATAGATAGATAGATAGATAGATAGATAGATAGATAGATAGATAGATAGATAGATAGATAGATAGATAGGTAGATGCTGTCAAGATGTCATTGCTCCATTGGTGTACTTCAGAAATTAATATGTTCATTCTTATAATAGCTCTGTGACATCGGGGGAATATTGTTACACAAGTGTAAAGCAAAGAGGGAACTGAGCTAAATATCTAGTGATTTAACCTCAGTGACAGTGGAGAGTCCAGTACCAAGGTTCTTTCACTGTAAAAATAACATTTCCTTTGCTCTATCTTGTTTGAATTTGCCTAGATTAAGGAAAAATTTAAATAAATTATATTATTTCATTAAAAAATAATCATGCCACTCTGTAAATAAATTATAAAGAGTATAAGCACTCAGCAGTAGGCAAGAATAAAATCTAAATTTCCCTTTCACATTGTTATGCCAACCAACCATACAATACACAGACTATATTGGCTACTGTGGAAGTTCAGCATCATTCAGGTTGGAAGGCACCTCTGAAGGCTGCCTAGTCCTACCTTCTTCTCAAATCTGGGCCACATTCAGTCTGAACAGGTTGCTCAGGTTGTCCAGCTGATATATGAAAATCTGAAAGAAAGGAGATTCCATGATATAACTGCACACCCTCCCTTCTCCCTCGCCCATATGCAACTGTAATTTCTCTTGCTGCAGCTGGGCATCTGTCTTTTGGCAGTTTGCAGTGCACCTCTGACTTCATCTTCTCTATAACCCTCTCATTAGTAGAAGACAGCCATTAGATCCACCTCTAATCTTCCCTTCAGGCTGAACAAACCCAGTACTCTCAAACTCTGCTTCCTCCATCCCCTTAACCATTGTAGTCCTCCTCTGGATTCTCTCATGTTTGTTATGAACTTTTTTTACTAGTGGCTCCACGATTGGACACAGTGCTGCAGATGGGGCATCGCAATGCCAGATAGAGGGGTAAAAATCACCTTGAATGATCTGCTGGCTACACTCTCATCAATGCAGTTAGCTTGCACCAACTGCAAGGCTACACCACTGTCTTTGTTCCCATTCCATCAGGACCCCCAAGTCCTCTTCTGCAGAGGTGGTCTCTAGCCAGCCAGCTCATGGCCTGTGTTGTTGTGTGGTGTTATTCTGTTGGACTTTATGTGTTTTTATCAGCCTGTTTCTTCAGCATGTCAAAGTCCCTCTGAGCAGCAGTTCTGCCCTTACCCCGGTTTGGTGTCCTGACAGCATTTCATGTCAATGTAAGTAATCCATTGTCCAGGTCACTGATGGAAATGCTTAATGACATCAGTCCCTGCCCTGACCTCATCTGCGTCACTCCAGGCTGCTAGCTGGGCTCTGAACTTTTGCTTACTACCTTTTAACTCTAATGGTCCACTTAGTTTTTTAACCACTTCATAGTCCATTCAGCCACTCTGCATCTCTATGATTGAGGTACAAAGCCTCTATAGGGAAAAGTGTGATAAACGTCCTCAAAGAAAAAGCAAATTATATCCATTTTGCTCTGTTTATCCACAGGAACAGTCATAGATACCAATTAGTTTGTTCAGGTCCTTAGCAAATTTGTATTGGTTATTTGCAAACATATGTGATTGGCAATGTCTTCCAGGAGGGTTTGTTGCATAGTCTTTCTGGAGACTGGGATGGAGTGGACTGGACTGTAGTTCTCTTGAGCCTCTCTCTCATTCTTTTTGAATATGGTCTAGTATTTGCCCTTTTTCCAGCTGTTGGGAGCTGTCTCTGACAGTCATCTTTCAGAGCTGGTAGACAGCAATCTTACAGAGGCATCAGACAGCTCCTTTGGCATCCTCAGAAGCATTCTGTCCTGTCCCATGGACTTCTGTATGCTCAGTTTACTTAAGCGGGCACCAACTTGATTGTCCTATCCTACTATTACCTCTTTCACCAAACTGATGCTGAACAGAGAGAGATGGAAATCCTGAGACCTGACCTTGTCAGTAAAGACAAAAAAAGACTTTTCATGTCCTTTGCATTAAATTTCCTGCCCCATTCAGCAGTGGAGTCACATTTTCAATT